TCCAATCTAGAGTGAGCCCCACCCCGGACCCCCCCCCTTCCTGGGGCCCTCCCCCACATCACCCAAGTAAAACCGGCATCCTCTGATGACGTGTTTCTCACGCTTTCTTCCTGCGACACTCTGGTTCTCTGTGTGGCTTCAAGGACCAATAAACCCAAATTCCTACTCCTCCGTGTTCCTGGCGGTCTTTGGTTGGAGGACAGTGACAGTGTCCATCACGGTCACTTAAAATTCTCGGCTCAGATATTAAAGCAATGCTGTGCCTGACGGTGAATGTTGTTCAGGTTGTTGCTTTCTTTTACAATAATTGTACTTCTCAGATGCCCATGACTGTCTCTCGCCTACTCTGGTCTCTCTCTCTCTTTTTTTTCCCCAAGAGTCTTATAAAAAGATATACAAAATTGTAGAAAGTGAGTTAATTAGAGGAAAAAATGAAATAAAAAGACAAGAAACAGCACTCAGTCAGAGGCCAGATTCACACAGAGTGAACATCATGAGATCCTGTATTCTTTCCAGATGACAGAATTTGGCTGTGACTTGCCTAGAACTCAAGGTGAGAATGAAGTACAATTTGTAAGGCAATTCTGGGCCTATAAAAAATAAAAATAAAAAAACAAACCAGTGGCTCGGGGAAAGCCACCCTCTTCCAGGAATGACCCCTTAGAAGAATGTTTCCTACAAGATCCCATTAAATGTAATGAATACCACACATATTATCCACAAGGGAAAACCCAATGACAGGTTTCAAGGGACTATCTTTTGCAACATCCTTCTAAGGAAGTGTTTTAGGATCCGTCACAATAAGGACTGCCCCCCTTCCTGGGCCAGGCTGTAGACATCACAGGGCTCCCTGCCACAAAGTGCTCTGCCCCCCGCTCCCCTTCACTGCCCTCTCTGCCCTGCTGACCCGCCCTCTCCTGAAGGAGCCCTACTTCTGGTGCATGGATGATCCCGGGCTGGCTCCATCCATCCACGCGTGCGGTGTTTTGAAGAAGGCTCGTTACCTGTTTCCGGTCACCTGGAACCCCGTGGGGTGCTGGCTGAGGCGGAGGACCTAGTGCTTTCCTCAGGACAGGCCCTGTGTCACCTGCAGGTGACAGCCAGTCAAGATTCCCTCCCTTCTTCCTGGCCCCAGAGCTACAGCTTTCTCCAGCTTCTCTGATGGGAACCCAAGAAAAACAAGGGGGACTTAAAACACTTGAAGGTCTTTCTTTGTCAAAGATCTATAATAAATAATCTGGGAAGGGACGCACAGGTATTGGAGTACCTTTTGTAAGAGCAATCAACGGTAGCCCGGGGCTCTTCATCCCTTCTGCCAGCTCGGTTTGGAGAGATGTCAGAGAGGCTCAAGGCTCAAGTCCCATAAAAGGGATCTTCCCCAGGGTCTCCCAACACAGCAGGCAGGTGTCAAAATGCTGGAGCTCTTCTCTGTTAAAGTCATCCTCTGAAGGGTTGTGTTATCACAATTTTTTTTTTTTTTTTTAACTGTGGTCTAAAGACGCTCTTTCTGAAAGGCTGTTTTAACCCGAGGTTACAACTTTGGGTATCTAAAGGAATGAAGAGACTGCAGAAATAAATAATATCAGGAATATCATTCCTTGCAGCTGAGCATTTGCTGAGCGTTTGCATGGAGTGTCGAGTTTAGATTCACATCTTCTGACTGAATCCCGGAGCGCGGCTAGGAGGGGGCATCTGCTGCGTCAACCTGGCACGCAAGGGACTCACCTGGCGAGCTTTTGAAACTACAGAGGCCACCGTGCGCTTCGGGCTCCGATGTCATTAGTCTGTGACAGGCTTCGGCCATCGGTGGTTGAAAAAGTTCTCCAGATGATTCTAACATGCAGAAAAGCTGAAAAGTTACTGCTTCGAAGTCACCAGAGCTGGGGAAAGGCTGACGATTTTTTTTTTTTTTAATAAGAGTTAAGCAACCCACCCAGGGTACATGCCTAAAGAGACAGCCAGGGATTGTCCGTGTCTCTCTGATATAGTTTCCATCTTCTTGTTCTTAGCCTAATCCATCTAAACAGCAGCTTTCTGTCTTCGTTTATGGTGTAATCAGGTATGACTCTTTAGGGCTTGTAGATCTGTCACTTGATCTGAATAGCCACCTTGTGAAATATGGTAGGTAGCAGAATCCTTATTTTCCAGGGGGAAGGAAGTGTCCTTTATTCAGTGTGAAGGGATTGAGCAAGCAGCCACCAGGTATGGGCAAGGGATGGGGCAGAGACCCCTCCCTGATGGTACATGTGACACAGCCTACTGTCACTACCTTGGATCGGTGTCCCTGAGACCACGGTGGCCCTGTGGCTCATGGAAGGAACCAGGGTTGCCCTGTGGCTGTGCTGGAGCATTCTTCTAGACCTTCCATACACTTTGCATAACAAAATCTTAATGTGCAACAAGTCTGCTCTGAGAAACAGACTGTGACAGAAAAGCCGTCTCAGAGGACAAAAGCATACTGACTTTTCCATCAGTTGCAAGGTGAGCGATTATTTTATGGACAAATAAGAAATGTAAAAAACCCTACCATGTAACTACAATGCACTGTGGATTGTAAGACATCCTGATTCTGAAGTCACTTGATTTGATGATGTTAGTGTTAGAATGTGGGGGGACAGTGCATCTTAGGGTCGATGTGCTATGTCCTCTTTTTATGCTCCGTAAAGAATCCATATTTTCCCAGGGCCCAGTAGCCCGGAGTTAAACTCCAAGTACCTGAATTTTATGAGCCTTGTTCCTCCTCATCTCTGTTATTCCCGGAGTCTCCACAACAACCCAGGGCTCCCTCCCAGCACCAACATACCAGGTAGCTCCTTGTTGATCTCCTCATGCTCTTGATGGTTGATCTAGACCAACACCATCTAGTGGAAATATGCTGGCCATATGTCGAATTAAGTGTTCTAGTCTAATTAAGTGTTCTAGTAGCCACATTAACAAGTACAAAGAGAAAAAAAAGTAACTTTAGTAATATGTTTTATTTAACCCAATATATCCAAAATAGTATAATTTCTACATGTAAATCAATTTAAAAATTATTAATGAAATATTTTACAAGCTTCCCCCCTCCCCCACCCTTAAGTCTTTGAAATGTGAGGTCTATTTTATACTTAGAGCATATATCAATTTGCACCTACATTTTCACTGGAAATATTTGACTTGTATCTAGATTGCAAAACATTTACAGTTGAAAAGATGGATTCACATACCCAGCGTGTCCCAAACACACCTAAGAGTTTTTCAGTAACCAGACTGAGTATCAGTTTTAAAAATTAAACTCGGGCGCCTGGGTGGCTCAGTCGTTAAGCGTCTGCCTTCGGCTCAGGTCATGATCCCAGGGTCCTGGGATCGAGTCCCACATCGGGCTCCCTGCTTGGCAGGAAGCCTGCTTCTCCCTCTCCCACTCCCCCTGCTTGTGTTCCTGCTCTCGCTATCTCTCTCTCTGTCAAATAAATAAATAAAAATCTTTAAAAAAAAAAAAATTAAACTCATTAAAATGAAATGAAATGACGAGTTGAGTTTGTCAGTTGCACCAGCCCCCTCTCAAGCTCTCTGTTGCCCACACATGGCTGGTGGATACCACCGGGCACGGCACATATTCTAAAGCACAGGGTTCTTGAGGGCTGGGATTTTACCTTTGCATTCTCAGAGTCAAACACAGAGCCCAGCACACAGAGGTACTGAAATGTTTGTTGAATGAACGGCTAGTAGAACTGGGACTTTCAACAAAGGGATAATCAAGAGCATAGCAACATGTTTACAAGACACGGGGGGCCTGGATCCGTACAGCCCAGCTTCTCTGGCATAAACCTCCCTCACCTAAATCCTTTTAAGATTCCAGAGAACCCTCCCTTTTTCTGTTTTCACATATCCACGAAGCCTTGCAATACCCTTTATACAAAGGGAAATGAGCCACAGGCCGAGCTCTGTCCCACTCACCTAGTTTGAAGTAGTCTCCTGCCTTCAAAGAAGAAAGTTGGCAGGTAGGACATGGTTGTCACAGATCACAGATCACAGAAGAACCTGAGAGGCCACCTTGGCCTCCCTGACCTACAGAAAAGTGCACGTGGGTGGGAAGCCATGGTCAGGCTGGAATGCATGGACTAGACAGCTGAGGCTCTGCTAGGGGCGAGCCTGTCTGTGGTCCTGTGGGGCGGCCTCCACCCTCCTGCTGACCATCCCCTCTGGCTGCCCTCTGCGCCAGTCAGAGAATCCCCCTTCCCCCTTCAGTCACATTCTGTGTGTGACACCGCCACACTCCCTTGTCACTGTCCTGGCCACGTGGGGACATCTAGCTGACTGGCAGGACATCTCTGGGGACTGCGCCTCCTAACCCTGCCCTTTGCTGGGACTGGTTCTGGATTTAGAGTCCCAGTTCCCGTCCTAACGGTCATTGATTTCCACTTGAGCTAAGAGGTCTCAGCCACGTGACTGAAGGGCTGGGGCCTCCACAGGCCATGAAGGAAACACTGAGGCCACACACAGTTCCTTTTCTCTGGCCCTTGTCCTGGGCGACAGTTCCCACCCACGGATAATGTGTTCTCCAAGGCTCGTCCTGGGAGGAATTTTCAGAGTGGCCTGAGTCCTGGGCTTCCCGGGACAGGCGCTGCTTTAAACTCCCGATTGGAGGGACACCAATGTTTGGCTTTAACTGGGCAGCCAGAGGCTCCCCGCGTCCCTGGGATCTGGACAGCGCAGGGGCGAGGCGGAGTGATGCCCAGGGAGAAGAGGAGGGAGAAAGGTGTGCGCTTTCTGTGATTCAGGCTCGTCTCCGAGCGCCCCGCCAGCTCCCAGACGGGGAGACAGACTCTGCACCGGGCGGGGAGCCGTGGGCTGGCGGGGAGCCAGGAGGCCGTCCCCCAGGACGTCCCCTTCTGCAACTCCCCCGCTCCTGGCTGCGGGACAGACCGCGTCTTTGGGCGCTTCGCTTCCGCTCCGAGCCTCGGGTAGTGGAAGCTGGCCGAGGCGGGGCACAGGCGGGGCCTAGGGGCGCAATCAGGCCCCGCCCCGGCCCCGCCCCCACAGGGGATGAACTTGGAGCCCAGTTCTGCCTAGGCCTTACCCTAAGACCGAAACGCTCGCTGACCATGGCCATGATCTTGGGTTACTGGGATATCCGCGGGGTGAGCGAGGGGGCCGCCAGGCTGGGTGGGAAGGAGACGCACAGGGGCAGGAAATGCTGCGTGGTAGACACCAATACTACCAGAATGTTCCTGCTCAGGGCTGGGTGCAGTTCAAACCTTTCCAGCAGTCTGTCCTTCTCAGGTGGGCATGTTTCTGAGTGTGTGTGGGGGTGGGGGGGGGAGCGGGGGGTTGCGGAGGATTGCGAGTGGGTGCCAATGCATGTGTCTGGGGGTCTGTGAGGTTACCTGCTGCAGAGAAAGGCACCAACTCAAGACTTCCATTTCTGACCTCCGCCTTTGGCATCTCTCCCAGCTGGCTCACGCCATCCGCCTGCTCCTGGAGTACACAGACTCACACTATGAGGAAAAGAAGTTCGCGATGGGGGACGGTAGGGGCATCCCTGTCGCTTTCCGACTTTTGCCCTATTCCTGCTGATCTGGTACCGAGCTACCCTTGCCCTGGCCACGTGCTGCTCCCTCTGCCGCCCTCCACCAGCTGGAGCAGGGCCTGCCCCTCCCTAATTCCTTCCAGGTGCAGCTGGCCTTACCAGGCAGGACATGAGGGGGGTTGCTGGACCCCCTGTTTCAGTAATTGGGATGGGTTCCCCTTAGGGCTTGGGTAAACGTTTTGTAAGCTTACTCATGCAGGTTCCAGAGTCTTACAAGCGTTCTTTGCCCCCAAACCTGGAACGTGAGACTTAGTGTTCCAGATGCCAGATCCACCTTTTGGGGAGCTTTGCCACTGATCCATGGTGGGTTCCCCACCCTGCCCCTGCCCCAGGCCCAATGAAAGTGGGCTCTAGGGAGGTGTGTTTCACTCCATCTTCTCCACCACAGCTCCCAACTATGACAGAAGCCAGTGGCTGAATGAAAAATTCAAGCTGGACCTGGACTTCCCCAATGTAGGTGCAAGGGGTGGGGGTGATGTGGGGCAAGTGAGAGGGGTGGGTACTCCACCTGCTTTCCCAGCTCAGAGGTTACAGGATTTGCTGCCTTCTGCTCAGCCTCTCAGCTTCCTGGTTCTTGTCACTGCCTGTCCTCCATGCTCTATGTTCCAGCTCATTCATCCATTTTACAGTGGATTGCTTTAGTGCCGACCATGAGCCAGGCACTGGAAGTGCCCTTCTTCAAGGGCGAGGGTGCTGGGGGAGGCCTGTGGCCTACCCACCTGCCCCTGTTGCCCTTACAGCTGCCCTACTTAATTGATGGGGCTCACAAGATCACCCAGAGCAACGCCATTCTTCGCTACATTGCTCGCAAACACAACCTATGTGAGTGGGGCTGGGGGCGGGATGCAGGGGAACAGTGGCGTGCCCCCTGCGCTTGCCTGGGGTGGGATGCTGAGGGTGAGTCTCTGCTGTGTGGGCTGTAGGCGGGGAGACAGAAGAAGAGAAGTGTCGCATGGACATTTTGGAGAATGAGGTTATGGACACCCGCCTATACTTTGCCAGGATGTGCTACAACCCTGACTTTGTGAGTCACCTCCCTGGGGGCTGGGATGGACAGGGTTTGACGGCGGACTGGACTCTTGTGTGCCATCTACATGGGGTCTTGTTTGTCATTTGAACCCCAAGGAGCAACTGATTCTCCAGCCCACTCCCTATACTTTCACCAGCGTGGCCGTTATAATTCAATGCATCAGATGAACACTCTGACTCAGTTCCTTCTAACCTTAGGGTAGAGTCCAGTCCCCAGGGTGGAAATTCAGTTCCCGGACAGTATGCTTACCTTGTTTGCTCAGCACAGTCGTCCTGACACCCCAAGGCCTGAGCACTCTGTCCAGCAGGCAGCACAGGGACAGACACGGGGCTTTGTACCTCCTTCTCCTTCCACTCTGTCTCTCAAATTCTACGTCTTTCCAGGAAAGCTCAAGTGATGCTCCTATCTGTCCCTCACCAGGTAGAACTTAGGACTTCTTTCCCCAGGCTGTTTCCATTGTGTGCTTCTTTGCTTCTGCCTGCCATCTGCGTCCAGAGCTCTGCTGGGTTCTCACAGCCCTCCTGGGTCTGAGCTCTGGGAGGGGGCTTGGAGATGAGTGATGACAGATTCAGGGACAGCGAGGTGGTGTTCTCTGCCTTCCCACAGCCTCTCACAGATGGGAGGTGGGACCCAGTAGGAGTCTGCTGAACACAGCTTGGATAAATCATCACCTGGGCAATGACCCCCCCCCTCCAGTGGGGGGACGTGGCTGCTCGCCCCTTGGCAGCTGGGGGTCATGCACTGCCCGGAGGAGACCTGCCTCTCTGCCCAGGGAGTCTGAGCCTGAGGCTGGTGATGGCTGTTCTGTGCCTCAGGAGAAACTGAAGCCTGGGTACCTGGAGGGACTCCCTGACAAGATGAAGCTCTACTCACAGTTTCTGGGGAAGAGGCCTTGGTTTGCAGGGGAGAAGGTAAGGGGAAGGCTTTGGGGGGTGGGAAGCTGTCATTTTCCCCAGGTTCAGAGTTACCTGCTCACTCCTCCTTTGCCTTTCTTTAGCTCACCTACGTGGATTTCCTGGCTTATGACATTCTTGATATACTGCGTATATTCGAGCCCAAGTGCCTGGATGCATTCCCAAACCTGAAGGAGTTCATGGCCCGCTTTGAGGTGATTTCCTTATCCTCCTTACTATTTATATCTCTCTTGTCCTCCCTCCTTTTGCTGGATGCTTTCCTAGTCCTGTATGTAGAATGAAGAATAAGTAGCATTTATTGAGGTTTTGCTATATCACGATATGTGCTCAGGATCTTACATATTTGTGTCAAATCAAATCTTGACAACATTCCTACATGGTAGAAGAATTGTCAGCTTATTTTTACTGGTAAGGAAACTGAGTCTGAAGGGATAAGTCATTCGCTGAAGTTCACAGAGCCAGTACTCTCTGTGCTGGGATCTGACTTAGCCTCTGGCTTCTGTAGGCAGCAGGCCATGGTTCTCTCTTTCCTGGGCCAGAAGGAAGCTCAGTTGCCTTACTTGTCTGGGTCGAGCAGCTCAGGACCCCGTGGATGCGGCCGCAGTTCAGGAGCGTGCGTGGCGCTGGCATTAGGAGAGCCGAGCCATGGTAGCGATGAGACTACGTAAGAAGGGCAGAGACGGCATTTCCTGGGGATGCTCAGGCAGCTTTGCAGCAATCCGATCCCCACCTGGGCCCGCCCTGAGATGCCCAGGAATGTCCTGGGTCCTGGGCTGTGAGTGCATGGGTGAGGGCGCCTGTGGAAGGAGTCTGTCCTGAGTGTCCTGTGGTGGGCACCTTCCTTACCTGCCTGTCTCCCTGCCCTTCTTCTTTCCCATTACCCGAGATTCTGCGTCAGAGTTGGGGCAGTCCATTTATTTTCAGTCCTATTGGCTGATCGGATCTTCTCCCGGGTGTGAGGCACTGTGTCAGGCACAGTGGGGATGCCAGGGTGACCCGGCCCTGGAGCCACCGTCCTGGGGCTCAGAGTGCTTGGAGAACTAGAGGAACACCCAGCCGTGTGGTGTGTGTGGGGCCAGGTGGGTGCGGGAGGAGCACAGCCTAGACCTCCCCTGATGTCACTGGTCACCCTCAGTCCCTCGCTGGAGGCCAGCGGACTGTGCTTTGTGAGCGGTGTGGGGCTTTGAGGCATTTGTCCAACAGGATTTTCAAGCTGCAGTCTGTTTCTCTTTCCCATTCTGCATCAAGAGATGTGCTTTTTGAGCTGGTTCTCGTCAGCCCTGGTTGTGGGTCTGGGTGACTGGCCTTGGGGTTTATGCCAGAGCTCCGGGGACCGGCTAGCAGGAGGGACAGAGGATGGCTGTGGGCTGCAGTGTGTGGCCCGCTGGGTATAGACAGTCCCAGGAACTTGGAGCCCTTTAGAACTCACTGGGCCCTCTGGGTCTTGGGAAGATGGTACTCAGACACCCATGAGTGGCCTAGGCCCTCTTGGCTGCAGCAGGCCTGGGGAGGAGGTAGTGGGTGCCCATGACACTGGGGACAGGTACCAGGCCAAGCAGTTGGACTTTATCCCATGACATTGGGCTCATGTACTGGGCCAAGCAGTTGGACCTTTAATAATTAGTCTGGCCTGGCCTGGCCTTCGTGCTCCCAGCCTCTCTCACTTCATGCAGCTTTTGCTGAGTCACTGGGTGAGGTCTGGCCTGTCCTGCAAGCTGCATGGCCACAATCTGCGCCTCCCTGTTCTGCTGGGGTTCCCTATGTGGCAAACTCTGAGAAGCCAGGATGCTCCCTTTGCCAAAGGGGGATGTTTGTAAGACAGGGAGGGACAGGGCCTCCTGGAGCGGGGGGAGGAGGGAGACCAGCCGGAAGAGCACAGCCCTGGCAAGAGAATGAGCTGCCCTCCAGCCCTTCCCACCTGCTAGCCCTGGGAGCCCGAGGTGGCCACTGAAGCCCTTTGGGCGTCTGGGTCCCTTCTGCTGGGTGGTGAGAGGAAGACCCGTCTTGTAGGGTGGTTGGTGGGGTTTCTACACCTGTATCATCGTCTCTGGGGGATCTAAAGCACCTGTATGGGTAGTCTCCATATCGTAGTCAGATGTCCCATTAGTTGCAGGAAGCTGGAGGAGGTGACTTTCCAGAGCAGGGACCGCAGGGAGACCGTGCTGTGTCTCAACACTGGCCTCACAAGGCAGCGACCCGAACTTGCTGCACCTCAGTGGGGCTGCACGAATCCCACTGAGGCAGCAAACCCTGATGCTGGACTTTCTCTTTCCACCCTCAGGGCCTGAAGAAGATCTCTGCGTACATGAAGTCCAGCCGCTTCCTCCCAGCGCCTCTGTTTCTAAAGACTGCCGTGTGGGCCAACAAGTAGGGCCTCCGTGGGCGGGGTGCCGGTGAGGAGCAGCCAAAGCTGTGCTTGCTGTGTCCCCCCAACAGCGGTCTTGCTTCTTTTTCCTTTGTTATATTCCTCTGTCCCCACGAAATACCTATGGGCGCCCTTTTCTCCCTCCCAACCCTGTCTTCATCCAGGCCCTTGGTCGTCAGCTCTCTACTTCAGCAAATTTCCTCCCCCACCAGTGTTATCCGTCCTGCACTAAAGCCAACCAGACCATTCTTCCCTGGGTGGTTGCTCCACCTGCGGGAGCTGGACTGGACTCCTGGCCTGGGGAGCCCTGCCGTGAGCTCCCCCGGGGCTGCCCCGAAGCCCCGTAAGACCTGGAGTGCAGGCCCGGCTCCCCCAGGGTGGTCCCTGCCCAGCCCTGCCTGATCCCCAGTGAAGCCTTACTCACCCTGACCTGGCTTGTGTTCTTCCCTTCTGGCCTTTGGATTCAGGACTGAGCTAGAGGTTTTAAAAGATATTTGTATGGGGGTGCTTGGGTGGCTCAGTCAGTTAAGCATCCAGCTCTTGGTTTCAGCTCAGATCATGATCTCATAGTGGTGAGACTGAGCCCCGTGTGGTCACAGCTACCATGCTCAGTGGGGAGTCTGCTTCCCCTCTCCCTCCCCCTGGGCCCCTCCGCCCACTTGCATGCGTGTTCACACACACGCACTCTCTCTCTCTCTCCCTCTCTCTTTTTTAAATAAATAAATAAATCTTTCAAAAATAAGACATTGTCGGTTAAGCGGCTGCCTTTGGCTCGGGTCATGATCCCAGGATTCTAGGATGGAGCCCCACATCGGGCTCCCTGCTCAGCGGAGAGTCTACTTCTCCTTCCGCCTCTGCCTGCCCCTCCCCCTGCTTGTGCTCTCTCTCTCTTTCTAAATAAAATCCTTAAAAAAAAAAAGAAGAAGACATTTGTATTTGTTGTTTACAAAGAATTGTAATTGGTTTTGGTGGCAGAAAACTAATCTCGGCTGAATATAATTGGTTTGCTAAGGCCTCTGGCTTTTGTTCCCTAGGGGAACACAGTTTGCATTGCTACCCACATCTGTGCTCCCTGAATTAAATTCTGAGACCCCAAATACATGCTTTTGTCTTATTTCAGCTCTGCCTCGTGGTCAACTTACATATCACAATAGAACAAGAAGGGATAAGAATAAAAAGGAAAGAAGTAATAGAAATTAGGAGTGACGTTAAGTTAAAAGATAAGCAGAGAAAACAAAACTATTAGATCAGAGTAAAATAGATCCAGATCTAGAACAGGGGTTGGCCAATGTTTTCTGTAAAGGGCTAGATTGTACAGGTTTTTGGCTTTGTGGGCCATGTGGTCTCCGTCATAGTTACCTCTACTAAGTCTGTTAGTTTGCAAGCTCCTCTGGAACTTCCCAGGTGTAATTTGAGACCTTTCTTGTACTAGGAGGGCAGGCAAGGACAGAAGAGGCAGGTCATTCCAGTTTGGTAGGTGGCAGGTTTACTAAGCATGGGAACTTCTCATGTGATGAGGAGATCTCCACGCCCACCTGCCAAATCTTTAAACAGTTGATATAGAGGCCTTAACTGGGTTCAGTCGTGTGTACCATCCAGATGGTCTCAACATCACATCACTATCTGAAGACTATGTTCTTGGGGCTGCTTCTGGGAGCAGGGAAGGCAATGGAATGCAACTTCCAGGGATAGGGAATGAGAGGTTTCTGATTGCTGGGGACCCAGCTCATGGGTCAACCAGCAGTCATATCCTCTGGATGATCGCCCCCAACCTAGGGTGAAGGCAGCCATGGATAACACAGACATGAATGGGTGGTGCTGTAATCTAACAAAAATTCAAAAACAGGTGGCTGTATTTTCTGAACTTCTCTATAAAAACAGCTGGCCATAGTTCCCCGACTCCTGATCCAGAAGCTCAAATTAAAAGGGCATAGCTATATGAAAGCTTAAATGTTAAATTTGAAATAAAAAAGGTGATTATCCAGGTACCTGGCTGGCTCAGTCGGTAGAGAATGTGACTCTTGATCTCAGGGTCATGAGTCTGAGCCCCACGTTGGGGGTAGAGTTTACTTAAAAAGAAAGAAAGAAGAGAAAAAGAAAAGAAGGGAGGGAAGGAGAAAGGAAGAAAAAGGTGATAATCGAAGAAAAGAACAAAATAACTCAGTCCTTGGGGCGCCTGGGTGGCTCAGTTGGTTAAGCGACTGCCTTCGGCTCAGGTCATGGTCCTGGAGTCCCGGGATCGAGTCCCGCATCGGGCTCCCT